CACAAAACTCTACAACACAAACACAAACTTGAGTTTTGTGTTAGTGTTGCGGATTTTGTGATTCCGTTTTAAGTTTGTGTTAGTGTAGATAACTGTAGATAAGCCACAAAAAAAGGATAACTTTTTTGCAATAGGTTAAATGTTTCAGTCAGGTAAAAGCGAATGTAGTTTCGTCATTGTGATTGACCTTAGAGCTCAAGAATCGACCCCACAGGGAGAAGGATCATCTTAACTAAAATTTGTGAGACTTTCCTGATCATCTTATACGCTAATGACTTTTAAATGCTGTCAATAACTTCGGAAATTTATTTTCGAGACTTAAATTTAATCCAAGAAAAACAGAAAAACGAACCAAAAAAAAAAATGGAAAATTTATTCATCGCACACATTTCAAAGCCTGGGAACGAGGGAGGGGGATGATTACTGTAATTAAAGAGAAGATCACTGTCAATCAAGATATTCAAAATTCTCGCGAGGTGTGCTAACAAGCATTTTTATGTATGTACGTATCGCACCTAGGGCTGCGGTGCATATTTAACCCTTGTTGTTCAATGCTGTTTTGATGCGCTACCTTAGGTTACTTGAGTCACGTCGGAAGATAGAAGTGTGTTGGCATGCCATTACAGACAAAAAAAAAACAACAACAAAAAACACGCCTTTGAACGCAGTTATCAGTGAAGTGTCGAGAGATCATTTCCTGTTCGTTCTCATCAATACCTATAACTCGAAGGTCTATAACAATGATAATAGTACTAATAATAATGAAAAAAAGGTTCCTCACGATTTGGGCGTAAATTTGATAAGCTAATCATCGACAGTACGTCACACGCTTGTCCATTCTTATTCAACCTCGATCTTGTTTGGATTTCGTGGTCTTACCAACGTTTATTTATTTTACCTTACCAGGCCAATTTTATGTGGTCTTCCATAGGCTGAGACTCGCTTTCGCAGCGAAAATTGATCCAAAATAGAAGCGTATCTAAAGCACGATCAATTTAAAGATATGAATTAAAATTTAGAATAAAACATCTTGTAAATCTGCAAATACCTGTTTCTCCAGAGCAGGTACATCGCGGTGAACCAACGTGAAGTACACCAAACAACATCAGCAAGGTGAGCCCAAGAGAAACTGCTGAGAGAAGGCACATAGCCAGCAGAGCCACACGATACAAT